TATGGCAATTAAAGAGTGCCTGTTCAAAAATGCCCCGGGCTTCGGAAGTCCATGTACGCTTTTATACGGATCGACGGAGAAGCGTCGTTTGTAATATCGGTAAACCATTCGCCATTCGCGAACCACTAGACAAATTTCCTCAAACTCAAATGAGCCATAGTATAGTTAACCGAGCAGCCTCCCCGTTTTTCTTATTACCATTGCCTTTCATTTTTAAAACAATTGGTCGATTATGGTAAAGTACGAGCGAGGCAGAGTTGGCGAAATGATCAGACGCGTAATAATTTGCCCCGGTTGCATACTAAATCGTCGAAAGCTTAAAAAATATGGCAGCTAACCGCGCGTTTTACCCACTAGTGCTTGCTCTACATTCCTTGTCGTCTATCCCTTTCCTCCTTATCCCCCCCCCAAACTTCGCACGCGCGCGCGCGCACGCACACACACACACACACACACACAAACAAACAAACAACACAAACACACACACACACACACACATTTATACCACTACCAACATCCAGCGTTCCCAATGCCCGCTGTTCCCCCGCAGCTCATTACCTTGTCTTGCTAATTCATCCGAAGGCTCGGCGAGCGAGAAGAGCCGATTTTCCCGATCGACGTATCTCGTCTTTATCTACAACCGAGGAGCTATTTACGAGTTTCCTTAAGGACTCGTCTATAGCTTTATGAAGCACACCACGACGATAGAGCAGCCAGCCGCTCTTTATGCACTTCCACGTAAGTCCTTCTTCCGCGAAGCTTTTCCCGAGGTGCAAATTCTTCCCGGGACACTAAAAATAATCTCTCGTTCCGTGATTTTTGCAGCGCTACTCTGCACCGTATTTTTATTTCTACGAAAACAATAAACGGTAAACAATAACCGAAAAACTGAAAAAACAATAAACGAAAAACTGGAGAATCAAAACAAAACAAAACAACAAAAAAGAACAACAAAAAAATAATGATTAATTTAATTTTATTCTCGTAGCTCAATTCTTCATCGCCAATACTTGCCTCATTAGATTAAAAAAAAATCTATTGCCAATCTATCTATAGCTATTGCCTTCTGCAATTAAACGTTTATAATTAGATAGACGTGCCCCAGCGGAAGTGCAAAATTAAATGTATTAACTTTCCGTTTCATAATAGAATTTGTACATTTTAATTTCATGACGTTTAATAATATATAATTATACAATGGGCATGAAAAAATTGGCGATTTCTTATTACGGCATTAAGAGCGACCGATGACGAGATACGATTAAATATCAATGTCCCCTTATAAATAGATTAAAAAAGAAAAAAGAAAAAAGAAAAAAAAAAGAAAGAGAGAGAGAGAGACCGAAGAGAAAAAGCCATAAAATTTATTTCGCTGATGATAATAATCGCGTTCGCTGTTTGAAAATAATCAAAAAGACGATATCGATCAAAAAGCAATTACAAGTTAAAGAATCTTATTAAATTATGTATCAATAGTGGTGGTGGCTTTTTATACGAAGCATCAATCACGCGGATGGATTAAAATTGCTGTGGGATAGTTATGTGCAATTGGTCGGGAGGAGAAGAGGAAGAGTAGAGGATGAAACGGATTTTCGATAAACTGGGCCGGCATTCGGCGTGGGGTGGAAGAAGCGCGTCGTGTGTCAATGAGGCGACCGTGACTCCCTGCGAATGCCTCGTGGGTTACAAAAGTACGTTACAAAAGTGTTTTGGTTGGTTGTTTGGTTGGTTGGTTGTTTGGTTGGTTAGTTGGTTAGATGGTTAGTTGGTTCGTTGGTTGGTTGGTTGGTTGGTTGATTGTTTGGTTGGTTAGTTGGTTAGTTGGTTAGTTGGTTGGTTGGTTGGTGTTGGTTGGTTGTTTGGTTGGTTGGTTGTTTGGTTGGTTAGTTGGTTAGATGGTTAGTTGGTTCGTTGGTTGGTAGGTTGGTTGGTTGGTTGGTTGGTTGGTTGGTTGGTTGGTTGGTTGGTTGGTTGGTTGGTTGGTTGGTTGGTTGGTTGGTTGGTTGGTTGGTTGGTTGGTTGGTTGGTTGGTTGGTTGGTTGGTTGGTTGGTTGGTTGGTTGGTTGGTTGGTTGGTTGGTTGGTTGGTTGGTTGGTTGGTTGGTTGGTTGGTTGGTTGGTTGGTTGGTTGGTTGGTTGGTTGGTTGGTTGGTTGGTTGGTTGGTTGGTTGGTTGGTTGGTTGGTTAGTTGGTTAGTTGGTTAGTTGGTTGGTTGGTTGGTTATTAAGCGCGCCAACCTTCATTGAAACAAGTCGGAAAAAGGTCAAAGTTAATAACGGACTCTGGATGAAAGCGCGCAAATGAAAATGAGAGGCGCACTATAATGGTCTCCTCCTTCGCATAAATTAATATCCACGAATAAAAGAATGAAATGTGTGTGTACGTGAAATGCGTGCGCGCGCGCGCGCGCGTGTATGTGTGTCATTGGGACTGAAATGGACCAGTGAAGGTAATTAACTGTTAGGCACTGCGGAGCTACGTGGGTGTCGTCGCGTGACAAAAATCCGCCCCGACGACCCACTTGGGCATGTGGAACGCGACCGCGGCAGCACCGGGTCGGAGGTGGGAGAGGGAGAAGGGCGTAGGCGGCCACGTCGACGCTTAGCGGGATCCCCGGGACAATGTCCGTGAATCCCCACCAGGTGATTCTTATTCCGACTGATGTAACCCATCGGATTGTCGGACGGAGCTCGCGGCGGGCGCGCGACCGATGAATTACGGAACTTTGCCCATGATTTACGGATGCTTTAACGCTCATTACACATTGTTGCATACATCGGTTCTTATTATCTTTCTATTCTGCCGCCGCATAATTCTCCGGATAAATTCGATTTTATCGTTTTAGCTGGTATCCTCGAGACACTCGCCAACTTACTACGAGATCTCTAATCGACGATGCTCTACTGTTTATCGAGTGCTTTATACGTTTATGTTATCAAGTTGGCTGGGAACGATGTATTATTAGAGAAAGTACACGTCATTCTCCCCTCCCCCCTCCTCCTCACCATCCCATCCAAGGAAGCAATACATCTGCAGAAAAGACTATTGAAATTTTCTTTCTACGATTTAAAAAGTGGCTTTATTTCGGAAAATCTGACGATGATATTATGCGAAAAGTGCTTCGATTATATTGATGAAACTGTAGCCATTAAAGTACCAAGAGCTTATTAAATCCTACAGCTTATTTAAAAAGTTTCAATTAAACTCGTTTTTCATACGCTTGAAGGATGAAAATTTTATAAGGGAAAAGGAAGTCGACGATTTCGCTTCACAATCGAGTTTGTATCTATAAATATCTATAATTTTTTTTTCAATTTCTCCAAGCATTTTTCTCTCTCCATCACCATCCCCATTCTTTCTCTCTATCTATCGCTCTCAGTCTTTCTTTCTCTCTCTCTCTCTCTCTCTCTCTCTCTCTCTCTCTCTCTCTCTCTCTCTTTCTTGCATTTTAAAAATATTATTAATCACTTTGTGCGAAAATTTCGACAATTTATTATCGATCTCATCATTCATTATCGTGAAATCTCTAATCTATACTGGATTGATAAATGTAAAATATTATAAATATTGTATATTGAAATATATGCGATACATCAAAATTATATAAAAATGAAATTTGCCGATTCGTCTCGTCAGGCGTGAAAAATCTCTGCTTTTCACAAATTAATTACCACAAACATCATATTCAATGTTTTACGCGACGTTGCTTTTAACATTGATCGCGGTAACATTTTTTGCAACATAAATGCAATATCCCTTGTTATCGATCATCATCTCCGGCGGACCCTTGAGCCATTAGTGACCATTAGTATTGTTTCCATTAATGCCGTGTTTTTATCAGAAGCAACTGGCTCGGGCATAAATGTGTTCATTATATTGCTCGAGAAGAAGTGTTTGGTTGGCACTAAAAACAACATAGAGTCTCGCTACTCGAGGAGCATATAAAAGTACATTTATTTGTCGGAAGAATGAAGCAGTCAAGCCGAGGCCTCGGCATTACCTTGTTTTTGATGTTCAAGTACTTTTAAGTAAACAGGCTCGATGCGCCGCTCTGCATCCCCGGGGCGATAAGTGCGCGCGCGTGGGTTCTTAACGCGTCCTTTCCATTAAATAACGTGACATTCGTACGTACGAGAAGGCTACCATTTAATAGACGAATGTCTGCTGAGACGAGCGTTAATAGTTGGTAATGTACGTGTCACAATGGCATTAATGATGCGCAATGTATAATTCCGAAGGAGAGAGAGTGATATCTGTCGTTCCTCGTTATGCGATATTCGTGAGAATGGCGTGCCGAAGAAGAAGAAGAAGAAGAAGAAGGAGGAGGAGGAGGAAAAGAAGAAGAAGAAGAAGAAGAAGAAGAAGAAGAAGAAGAAGAAGAAGAAGAAGAAGAAGAAGAAGAAGAAGAAGAAGAAGAAGAAGAAGAAGAAGAAGAAGAAGAAGAAGAAGAAGAAGAAGAAGAAGAAGAAGAAGAAGAAGAAGAAGAAGAAGAAGAAGATGATGATGATGATGATGATGATGATGATGATGATGATGATGATGATGATGATGATGATGATGATGATGATGATGATGATGATGATGATGATGATGATGATGATGATGATGATGATGATGATGATGATGATGATGATGATGATGATGATGATGATGATGATGATGATGATGATGATGATGATGATGATGATGATGATGATGATGATGATGATGATGATGATGATGATGATGATGATGATGATGATGATGATGATGATGATGATGATGATGATGATGATGATGATGATGATGATGATGATGATGATGATGATGATGATGATGATGATGATGATGATGATGAGAGGAGGAGGAGGAAGAAGAAGAAGAAGAAAAAGAAGAAGAAGGAGAAGAAGAAGACGACGACGACGATGATGAAAATGAAGATGAAGATGAATAAGAAGAGAAAGGCAAAGATAAATACGCGCGCGCATGTATAGCGACGTATGCACATAAGCAATGGCTGACCTTGGTGCGAGAGTCCGTGACGAGCTCGGTCGTGTGGAGATCGTCGCTGTCGAGGGAGGCGCTGCAAGGATCGCGATAGCGACCGGGACAGGCGCACAGCGGTTGAGTGAAGTTAAGTCTCACGTAGACAGCGTTGCAAACCTGCTGGACAGCGCACTCCGGCAGCAGGTAGATGTGCTGGTTATGCGGATAGTAGTGGTACTTGGTGGGCTTCGCCAGGGCGGCGCTCGCACCCTCGGGCAACCGTACTCCTGTCTGAAAAACAAAGACGATCGAATCATTGGTAAGCGATCGTACGAGCGAACCGCTGCCCCACGTAATTGCCCTCCAGTATTGTAACGGTTAATTAAACATCGCCATTATTTCAATTGCTTTTTCCTCTGACTTACGGGACGAATAATTCCTAGCTGGTCTAAAAGCCGAGCCGAACCGAGCCGAGGTCTCTTAATTATCAATTTGAAGGTCATTATTAATCTGGTATTTTCTTTTGTAGAATCGGCCTATCCTTCCGTACAGCGCGCGACGCACTTGTGCCACAGTCGACGGAACGAGTGAAATGATATTATGTGATTTACCCCTTTAATCAGCGTGTAATGCAAATGTCGTGTTTTTATTTTGGTCGCATAAGCTGTTATTTTCGTTATCTCTCTCTCTCTCTCTCTCTCTCTCTCTCTCTCTCTCTCTATCTATCTATCTATCTATCTATCTATCTATCTATCTATCTATCTATCTATCTATCTATCTATCTATCTATCTATCTATCTATCTATCTATCTATCTATCTATCTATCTATCTATCTATCTTCATCTCTCTATCTATCTCTTTCTCCTTAAGAATGTAAAACGCTCGGGGGTAATGTCTAATCGGACAAAAGCGAGAAACAAAATTTGTTCCAAGTTAAAAAGCCTGTCACTACACGTGCATACGCCTTGCTCCGTAATTTCGCATGGTAATAGGGTGTTGTTATAAGAAAACAAAGAGGTGCAATTACTAAAGGAGCGGGCGAATCCTTGCCAGATAGGTGGAAACCTGTATTTGCGTTCTCCGCGGGCAATCGAACATTGTTACGGGGCACAAAGTGTTCCGCCAGATTGCGAAAAATAGACAAGGCTGGAGACGCTGGCGTTAAATTATTCCCCGATTAATTGGCACAGTGTGCTGAGGCGATATACATGGCTTGTGAATTCATAGCATCGCGTGTCCCGCTGCCTAGCTTCTATCCACTTAATTAATAATTCAGGGCGAGGAGAAGATATGCTAATGACTTGGGGAGTTTTCAGTTATACTCTCGCACGTACATAGGCATTATGTGGCCGTACGTACGCCCGTGCGGCAGCACTTTCCTCGTCGATATTACGAGGTGAAAAATTGCAGAGTAAGAATTATACGCGCTTCGTAGCTCCTCGTAAATGAGTCGCGTGTATATTTAGAGGCGTAGGTCAATTAGTGCACGAATTTCCATACGCGAAGGCACTATCGACTCCTCGGAGAGAGCTACGGATGCCTTCTAATAGCGAAGATCGAAAAAAGAACGATCAAGTTGAAAAGAATACCGTAAGGATAGGTAAAATCGCGGTGGCTAATGCACTCGGTTAATCAATACGTTGTATGCAAAAGAAAGGAAAAATATTAAATTTCGAAAATTACCCTCGCACAATAACAAAAAAATCGTATAAAATGTAGCAATTTTTTTTTGTTTTGCATAATAAAGGAAACAGGATCGATATTTTACCGAGATGTTGCTATATCTTGCCATGAAACCTTTAATGCACGGGGTATTATTTATTAGCGAGTTCATAGGCATTTCTTTTGTGATTTTCAAAGTTCTTTCC